AGTGCAGTAGGTCATTATTTTTATTATTATTGTATTTGCTTCCATATTAGTTCATTGCGTTACTAAATAATGGAACTCTTTTGCATTTACTTGGAATAATTATATAATGGTATTTTTGTAGAAGGAGACAAAACAATTGTAAAATATTTTTATTTAGAATAAATTTTAATGAGGTTCACAGTAATGATTTGAACTGAATAGCACAATTCTTTGAAGCTTCAATGGAAAATAGTGTGTTTTGTAAAATAAATGTAAATATAATATAATAGTTGATTATATATTTATTTAATATTTTCCTTAATTAGTTAAATATAGGACACAATTATGTATCAACACAGCAATAGTGTACATGCACAGGTTCTATGTATTCCACTCGCTGTCACATTTCCACAGGAACGCAATTGCAGCAGCAGCACTATTTTTAGCAGCAAAAGTAGAAGAACAACCGCGCAAGTTAGAACATGTTATCAAAATGGCACATATGTGTCTCCACAGAGATCAGCCCCCACCTGATGTCAGGTCTGAGGTAAAGTTATGAAAATTAATACGAGTACTAATACATATGTAGTTATTAACGATAAATATAATCATTGAAATACATTTTGATCTATAGCAATACCTTGAACAAGCTCAGGATCTGGTTTTCAATGAAAATGTCCTACTACAAACTTTGGGGTTTGATGTCGCCATTGATCATCCCCACACACATGTTGTTAGGTGTTGTCAACTGGTTAAAGGTATGTAAATCATGTATAATATTTTATTTCAATTGTTTTTATGTTTCTTTTGGATACACTGCAACTGTGATAAAAATTTCAAAGAATATAACAAAAACTAAAAGTTTAGATCTTCAGAATTAGATTCTAGAGGTTCTCATTGAAGTATTGTAACTTTTTTTACAGCGAGCAAGGACTTAGCCCAGACTTCATACTTCATGGCATCTAACAGGTGGCTACACATTATTTCCTAGTATCTCTTACTCTTAGCAGTCTTCTGGTCAAATAGATGCCAGCTGGAGCATATTTCCAAGCTAAGACTGTCAGGCAATAGCCACTGGCGCAACATTCTGACCTATTTTCTTCTCAGAAAGCAAAGTAAACGTGAAATAAAATTGTAGAAATATCGTTTGCGCGAAATACAAAGATCTGTCACAGTACACCTTTTGCTCAAAAGAAGCAGAATAAATTAGTGATTCATATGAATAGAAATGCTTTGAAATATGAAATGAAAGTAAGATGTAAAGTTTAGTGTATGAAAGTTTACTTTGATTTCATACGTTTTCTGAAGTCTAATATGAATGTTTAAATGTCAACAGTAACTTTTGGGGAGGAATGTTGCGTTGCAGTCGCGGTAATGTCTGATTCTAAAGAGAACGTATGCCAAAGCGAAACGAAGTTTATTTCGTAAACTAAGTTCACGATGAGGATTGCTTAATTGAAGGTAAATGAATTATTCTTAAGGACTGATCGTTTTCTCTTACATTACGGTATATTGTCCAGTTTTTATTTTTACATTTACATACACTTATTTTTAAGCTGTAGATGCACAAAACGACGTAAGCGTGAATGAAATGAATGTGGACGCAGTGTAATTATGAATGAATGTTCAAAAACATTTAATGATAAAAGAAGAATAATTAGCCATCCCATAGATTATATTCTGTACTAGTAATCCAACATGGTATAAGCAGTCTGATTATAATCTATCAAATGTTATTTAATCATTTGAAATATAGGGAGCAGAAATACTGCTATGTATTAACCCAATTGCTGATAATTGAATAATATTTGAACAGATCATAATCATGGCTGAATAATTAGTGTAGAGTAAGCCTTAATCTATCTCTGTTGTAAAAGCTGAAACTTATTATTTTGACCGTTTATACACATCTATGCAATTTACAAGCAAAGAATTTGATTTACTCGAAACGATACGTTCTCTCGAATATGTAAAATTTCAGTAATTTTGATAATTTTAGTTTACCATTTCATGTTTATGTATAATTTAATATTATCAGATTAAAAATTCACTTTACCATGGGATTATGTTGGGGCAAACTTCGGTAAATTTGTTACGAGAGAACAGAGTGTTATAGGGCTTAGGTTTCTAATTATTACATAGAAAAATGTCGTATATGTATATTTATTTATTTATCTAACAATAATTATGCAGAAGTTTTTGTGTAGCTCATCGCGAAAGAGTATTGCATTGACATGTGCTGTTTTTTTTTTAACTGTTTTGGAAACGTACTCTTTGGAATTAAATTCCGTTTATGGAAGTTACAATTGGTAATATTGTAGTTGATATATTTTCAACGAATCGTAAGAAATTCGTCCTGGTTTTATCTCGATATTACCCATGTTTAATGGAACTAGTACTTCCGTTTTTATAGTACAGTTCTTTTTATGCCCTGGGTTATATT